ACATACATACATACATACATACATACATACATACATACATACATACAGTATATTACTACTGATATGAGAAACTAGGATGAATTCATCATGAGAAATTGGTTCTGATGAGGAAAATAACACCAGGGCTGTAATGCTAACCATGTTAACCTGCATGGTGTTATAGTTTTAAATGGTAGCTTTCTTATGCATTTTGATTATTTTTATACTTTGTACTATATTCTTAATTATATGTTGTTAGTTTGTATTATGTGTGTTAATTGTAATTGCTATCTAGAGCCAAAACAGATTAAGGTGACCTATAAATATTTAAAAATAAATAAATAGTCTTACTTGAGCCTTACTAAAGATAAAAAAAGAGATTGGATCAAACATTTGCTTTATTTCTTGTCTTTATGCTAGTCTGTGACTGTAATAAAGATTTGATTTGATGTATCTTGTTTTCCTGGAATTGGAACCCATAAAATATCTAAAATATTTAGTTATTTATTTATTAGTACATAACTGTTTTGATATAAGTCACTCTGCAGGGTAATAGAAAATTGGATTCACAATATAAAGTTGATTTTTATCTATTTGTCTGAAATGACTAAATTGGATAAGATAGCATGACATCCAGAAGAAGGTTGGTTCTTTTTTTTTTTTTGCGGGTGGGGGGAAGCGAAAATCTATTGGAGCTACAGAAATGTCTGCAAGAGGGCGTACATCTGATTTCATGCCTTTTGTTTAAAAAAAAATAGTGAGAATCCTTTGCTGCATAAACAGATTATATTTCTTCCACTCTGCTTCTTTACAACAGCCCAAAGCTGGGATTTCACATTTTCACTCCATCCCTATTAAAGTTTATGCAGCATATCCATTATTCCTGGGGGAATGCAAACTTAACTTGCAAAACTGTATGAATGAAATTTTTTTTAAAACAATAGAAGTTACACTCCGTTCTTTGTCCTCCAATATGTTTTTATATCCTCACTTTTTGCAGTATTATGAACATCAGATCTCAACCATACAATGTTGGTTCAATTGATAGTTTAGCTGCTTTACCCATTCATCAAATGAGTCTACTTTTTTTGTCTTTTAAAACCCTGCAAGTGGTTAAAAATGCTTACTGTAAATGGGCACTTAAAGATATCCATTCCTTTGCCTTCCTGTTATGACTGTGATGGAAAAGGGTAAGCAATTTAAATAGACTGTAAAAAAACAACAACACCCGCTCTAGGGGGGTTTATCTAACCTCTTAGACACCAGTAAATCAGTGGCTTTTTGATATGAAGATGGTGAAACCACCTATAACTGTGATGGTGAACTTATGACACGTGTGCCGGAAGTAGCACGCAGAGCCATTTCTGGCAGCACACGAGCCATCGCCCAAGATCAGGTACACTGCACATGTGCGCATGCCTCCCGACAGCCAGCTGATGGTTGGGTATCTGCCGTGCATGTGTGGGGGCAGGGCGCCCGTGCGAGACACAGGTGCATATGCAGAGGCATGCAGGACGTGGGGGTTCGCGCATGCATCAGTGGTGGGATTCAAATTTTTTAACTACCGGTTCTGTGGGCGTGGCTTGGTGGGCATGGCAGGGGAAGGATACTGTAAAATCTCCAGTCAGAGGTGATATTTGCCGGTTCTCCAAACTATTCAAAATTTCTGCTACCAGTTCTCCAGAACTGGTCAGAACCTGCTGAATACCACCTCTGGCACGCATGCACAGAGGCATGTGGTGCGCGTTTGGGGAATCACATGCACATGTGCAGGGGGACGAGGGGTTGTGTGCGCAGTGCATTATGGGTGCAGGCGCACACTTTCGGCACGGGAGAACTAAAAGGTTAGCTGACCTATAAATACCACTTTTTTTTAAAAACACGTATAATAAACAGGAATCCAGTTCTTACCTGCCCAAAGTCTCTTCCAGTAGATTTAATGCTATCAGCTTCACCCACGTTTTCTATAATGCTCCCAAATAAACAGCAACTTTGAATATGAAATCAAGGTTTTTTGTTCAAGTCAGAGCAATTTCCAATTTCTCTTTCTGGCAGAAGACTGTCCCTGCTCCTTTTGTCCCCAGAGGCAGCCCACTCAGCTGACTCTTTTATTCTGCTGGTTGGTTTCATTTCTGGAGATAACAGCTGTTGTTTCCTTATGTCCCATAAGGTTTTCTTCCCTCCTCTCAATCTTCTGTTGATTCTAGAACTAGTAATACCAAATAAATAGCCAATTATTGGAATCTGGGGTTGGCCTGTATCTTTTCAGCCTACAAGCAGAGATTCTAATGTTTCTGATTTTGCTGTCATTTAAAAAAAACACTACTGTATGTGCAGAAAATGGAAGGAGACTTCGATTCCTACTAGGGAAGAAGGGTTGCAGAAGCTGATGGAGTTGGCTGAAATGGCAAAATTGACTACTTGGCTTAAAGGAAAGAATATAAGTACTTTTGTTTCTACATGGAAACCGCTTCTGAGCTTCGTGCTTGATGTGGAAAAGAATGAAACTTTGATTTTTGGTTTTACAGATTAGATTGATAGATCTTTATAAAAAATGACTGGTTCATACTATTATGGTAAAGCAAAAAGTTGTGATCTGTTGTTAATGCCTTATTCTACATGTGTAACAGAGAGAGTCGGAAGTCAATGTTTCTTTTTCTTCCCCTACCCTTCCTCACTTTTCTTTCTCCTTTTCCCTTCCCCCTCACTGTCCTCTTATTTGATTTTGTATTTTATAATGACTTATAACTTAATAAAAACTATAGTTAAAAGAAATCCTGCATATATTGCCTTTTCCTCGACTGCATTGCATATAGGGATTTAAATATTGCATTTCTCCAACTAGGAGAAATTGTATGCCTTGCAACTTGCATAATGTGACAAGCTTGCACTTTAGACTGGTCCCTGAGATATGCCCGTTGCAGCACGTCTGCAGTCACGTGATCAAAATTTGGGTGTTTGCCAGCGTGCCTGCACTTATGACCAAAGTGGGGCTTCAACTCCACCATCCTATCTCCCCACATCTGTGCCCTTTTGGCCCCCCTCCATTCCACAGCCCTTGCCATCCTAGCTGACCTTCAATGCCTCCTTTTCCCACTGTTGACCAAGCATGGCTGCTGTGGGCTTTTACAAGGCATCTGCTGGCTGCACAAGGCTTTCTTTCCCAGATTGTATAGTTACTTTGGCGAGATCTGCAGAAGATGACCCCACAGGGCCAGCATCTGTCTCACACAGGGCCAGGGCAGTTAGCAGAGTAGAAGCAAGAAGACAGAGAAGGTCAGCTGGGGCATCAGCATGGCAGGGGCTTCAGCGTAAGAGGTGGTGAGGGCCAGAGGTGGTATTCAGCAGGTTCTGACCAGTTCTGGAGAACCGGCAGTGAAAATTTTGAGTAGTCCTGGGAACTGGAAATACCACCTCTGACTGGAGATTTTACCCCTGCCATGCCCACAGAACCGGTAGTAAAAAAAATTGAATCCCACCACTAGTGAGGGAGACTGTAGCTGGGACAGTTGAGATTTCCTGGAGCTGCTGTGGCTTTGTGCCACATGGCTGGGGTTTCAACTTCACTCTCCACCTTTAAAACTCACCGAAGCATTGTTAACAAGGATAAATTGAGATAAATCATTTCTATGTCAGCTTCAGCTCAAGCTGAATATTAGCCAATTCACTGCAAGAATTTGGACCATACTAGTTGGAATGTTAGATTTCTAGTAATAGAGAAGAAACATGAAATATCTATAACAGCAGAAACATCACCATTTTAATCTTTAATTAGAATAGCTGTATCCTATTAACATGGAACAAAGAGGTGAAGCTGAGGTCTAATTAAAACAGCACTCAGGCATTGATCAAAACTGATTGCTGAAAAGCTCAGAAACTGGAGTTGTTTCAGAAATTTGTGATAAAATATTTAACTACAAATTCCCTCCTGGGGTCTATGAAAGGTCTATGAAATCAAACATTCACCTTCTTATATAATCAGAGAGAAAGAAATACAATCTTAGAGGGAACACAATTTCCTATCCTCGGGAACTATTCATCACAGATACAACTGTATTTAAGCATAAAGACTGCATGTTAAATTTTGTGGTTCAAGGGTACTGGTAAATCTTGTAATTATCATAAATGTGGACTGTGATTAATATCTATAGTTGATATTTGAATAAAGAAAGTACCAATGCTTGGCTCTTTCATTAGATTTTGAGGTAATATAGTAATATGTTCTGTTTGTTTTACTGTAGCTTACTGTTTTAGCCTGGCCTTTAATTTTTCAGCAACCTAAGTTCTAATATACAGGTGAAACTTGAAAAATTAGAATATCGTGCAAAAGTTCATTTATTTCAATAATGCAACTTAAAAGGTGAAACTAATATATGAGATAGACTCATTACATGCAAAGCAAGATAGTTCAAGCCATGATTTATCATAATTGAGATGATTATGGCTTACAGCTCATGAAAACCTCAAATCCACAATCTCAGAAAATTAGAATATTGTGAAAAGGTTCAATATTCTAGGCTCAAAGTGTCCCACTCTAATCAG